ACCTAATTTATTTATACACCTGGACAGAGAAAGGCATGAGAATTGTGTCTTGCCGAAGAACATTATGTGATGGCTCAAACCCAGACTGCTCTATCCACAGTCCAGCATACTAACAGTAACATTAGCCTCTCTCAGGGAACATAATGGGGCCAGCTCTCTAAAACGGCCAGCATTTTTTCTCTTGATCATTTTTTGTGCTGCTCCATACGGTGAACTCTTTTTTAAAGTTCTTGTGCCCACCTCTCCACAATGGCCAGTTAGATCTGTCCTAATGTGCCAGTTATAGAGGTTCAGCTATTGCCCCAGGAATGCTTCTGTCTTCTCTGAGACCTCTTGAGGGTGAGGCATTTCATATCTGCAACCCCGTTCTCAGGGCTTTTTCCTTGGAGATTGGAAGGGGCGATCTCTAAGAAAATGGGCAAAAAGGCTTAACGAGTTGCTTGTTCCTTAGAATTATGTTGGAAAAAGTGTTAACTCAGTGGACAAAGCCTCCCGTTTGAGCCTAAGATCTTTGCCGGTAGCACGCTTCTTGGATATCCCGACTGTCTCTTTTTGACGTGCACGTTTTCCAGTCGCCGATGCGAGGGGCGTTCTGACATCCCTTCCTAGAAAACCCCTCCGTGGCTGTTGATACTGAGTATGAGTCCGACTGTCCTACTGTAAAAAACGAAGCGGCCCTATAGTTAACCTAGTAAGGCTGATTAGTATGGGCAATGAAACTGTGACGAGTGACAAATAAGGAAATAATTCACGCGCATTTTGTCAAAATTCTAATAATTTGTTTTAGGCTCGGAAAATTATTAGAATTTTGACAAAACGAAAGTGAAATTATTTCCTAATTTCACGAGTATGCCATTTGATTATCTTTTCTTTAGGTGACAAGTTACACCTGCAATCATGGGTTTTTGACTTGTTTGTATCGGGAAATTTTGCGCCAAACGCTGCAATGGCAATTTTGTAATTTCAGGAGTGAAATTATAAATTAACGCTGAAATTTCACCCATGATATTACATGGCGAATTTCAGCCCAGAATAAAGTTTCAATCATGGGGAACGTGTTTTCAATAACTTAATGTCGAGTAGTGGGTAAAAAACCGGCAAACTGATAGGAGGAG